GCCCTTTATCCCCTCACACTCCCGGTCCCTCCCGCCGGGTCCCCCCTGCCCTCACCGAGCGCCCCCAGCGCCCGCAACACCGCCCGCGCGCCACCGGCCGCCATGGCTCGCGCCGCGCACCCGCCCCGGCCCCGCCCCCGCCGCGCAGCGCCCGCCTCCCTGATTGGCTCCCAGCGCCTCCAGAGCGAGGCCGGGCCAGCGGCACCGCCCCCCATTGGCTGCGGCGCGGGGAGCACGCGCCGTTCCCGCCCCTAGGGCGCGGGAAATGTGGATGACCGTCCGCGGTGGGATTGGGGAAGGCTAGCTGGTGTCACTCTTGATAGGCGCGAGAAGTTTGACGAGTTGGGTTTCTTGACAGGGCTTTCTTGGAGCTCGTTGTCACAGGCGCAGGTACGCAAATCGTAGAATCGCAGAATGTCAGGGGGTTGGAAGGGACCTTAAAGACCATCTATTCTCAACCCCACTGCCAAGGCCGGGGCACCTCTTACTAGACCATATTGCTCAGAGCCCCATCCAGCCTGCCCTTGAACACGGACAAGGACGGGGGATCTACAACATCCCTGCACAGCCTGTGCCGGTGTCTTACCACCCTCACAGTAAAGAATTCCTTCCTAATATCTAAACCTACTCTCTTTCCAATTTGTACCCCTTACTCCTTGTTCTATCACTGCACCACCAGCAGTTCCTGACGAAGAGTCCCTCTCTGGCTTCCCTGTAGGCCCCCTTCAGATACTGGAGGGGATCTATGAGGTCTCCACACAACGTTCTCTTCTCCAGGCTGAACAGCCCCAGCTTTCTCAGTCTGTCTTCGTAGGACAGGCGATGCCCTGTTCTATGTGCAGGCAGCACTTACAGTGTATTGAACTTTGTGCAAAATGACCATACTTTGTTCAGGTGGATTGTGGAATCATCCTGTACATATGCAAAAAAACTGTACAGTTTATGGGTGAGTTGTGTAGGTAAACAGCAGCATCTTCAGCTTTATGGGGAAAGACACCTTTTATAAACTAGAATCATATTCAATAAGATCATACTGATCTAATTAACTTTGTGCTGCAGCTGGAGTACTGAGGCAACACTGATCCTTCACCAGTCTCACTTTTAAAAATAATATTTTTAAACTTCTCTAGTAATCAGTTTTAGTTTTAACTTTATATTTATACAGTAATGCTAAAATCTCCGTAGATCTAATCTGAGACTGTGAGAGTAGTAAAACCAATACACAGTATTGCTGACTAGTTTAAAATTACATATTTTCAATTAATGTTAATGAAAGAATCTAGAGTATATTTCAGGAAAAGAGAATTATGGAACATAATATGTGTTTATGAGCTTTATACATTTATGGCTTGTCTGGTCTTGGCCTCTCCCTTCTAAAGTGTCTAGTTAAGTGTGCAAATGATTTTTAATAGTGTGTGTTCTTATGACCTCGTGGTTGTCAAAACACTAGTGATGTATGCACCACCGAGATCTGTCTCTGATACCAAGGACATGACTTAACAATCTCTTTGTTCTTAAATTACATAACTGTATTACATACTTTGTTATCGAGAGAACTTCACATGTATTATTTTACATTACAATTTCATTAAGTCTCTCCGTAGTGCCTTTAGCACTATGACTAATATTCATTATGGTACTTTTCTTTCTTTTTCCAAGATGTAGAGATGGATGTGAAGTTTAATATCTTGGTGGTTTGGTAATTACAAATTCATTTGCTGAAATTTGAAGTTATTTTTGGGTTATTTTCATCAACATGTAAACATGCTTTTAATTCTTTGAATTTGGAACAGAAGGTGTTGAAGTATGCAGTGATTTCAGCTTGTGTGCCCATCCACAGAATTTAACTGCATGTTTAGAAAATTCTGCCTTTTGGAAGTGTGTTCTATGAAGGTTTTCATGGCAGAGAACAGAGATGCAGGCTATGATGGTGACCTGAGAGTACGGGCTCATCTTTTAGCTAGAGGACTAAGAACTTCCTCTGAGGAGACACTTAGTATAGAAACTAGAAGACAAATGTCATGAGCTACAAGTAGACTGGATAGAGAGATGCTACAGTATTGTTGGTAGGCCAAACCAGAAGCTTCAAGCATAGGCACGTAGCATCACCATAGTTCTGCCGAGTAATTACAGGGGGTAAAGTAAAATAAAACAAAAACACCATTAGGTCATTTCTTCAATTAGTAACCTTAAAATTTACAGAAGGTGGTGCAATTTGTATCAAAACTCTCTAAAGAACTACACCAAGTTCTTCAAAAAGCTCTTCAGTCAGACAGGAGGAAGTGCGTCTGTGAACTGGCTTCCTCCAGTGCCTGGGCCTTCACCTTTGGGTTATCACCAACACCCTGCCCTTCTGGCCTCCTGGCACTTGGGTGCTCCCAGGTACCACAGTACCTAGAGACACCATCTGTTCCTCATGCTGCACTCCTTCCTTGTCTCACAGCACTCTGATTAGCCGGTGAACTGGCACAGTTCCCAGCTTTCCTGCACCCTCTCCGCTCACCCCAGATGTAAATGCATGCTCAGGCACCTGCTTCCTGCTGCCCCAGGTCTTTGTGCTCACAGGCCAGGCAGGCCGGGAGGCCCAGCTCACGGGCTTCTACAAAAACCTTGTCCAAATGTCTGCCTCTGGAAGTGCAAGGCCCTGTAAAAGTGCTGCAAGGGACACACAGGTCAGCTTCAGTCTGTAGAGGGTGCTGAACAGCAGCAGTCGGGGAGGGCTGGGGCCGAGAAATCACAGAATCAGTTGGATTGGAAAAGACCTCTGAGATCATCAAATCCAACCTACGACCAAACACCACCATGTAAACTAGACCATGGCAGTAAGTGCCCCATCCAGTCTTTCCTTAAACACCTCCAGGGATGGTAACTCCACCACCACTCATTCCAATGTCTAATCACAGCTTCTCTAAAGAAATTCCTCCTAATGTCCAACCTAAACCTACCCTAGTGCGGCTTAAGACTATGTCCTCTTGTCCTGTCACTGTCTGGGAGAAGAGAGTGAACCCCACCTTGCTCTGTTCAGGCAGTTGTAGAGATCAGTAAGGTCCCTCCTCTTCTTCAGGTTAAACACCCCAGCTCCATCAGCCACTCCTCACAGGACTTGTGCTCGACTCCCTTCACCAGCTTCATTGCCTTTCTTTGGACCTGCTCCAGCATCTTAACATCTTTCCTAAATTAGGGGGCCCAGAACTGAACACAGTACCTGGGGTGCAACCTCACAAGTGCCATAATGTGTTCCTTCATTTTTAGCCTTTCTGAATTAATTTGAAAGAAAGCATCTGGTACGCATCTGGTATGTGTACATATATAAAATGTAATTACACTGTATATGCTATGTATCTATTACAATATGCTTCATCGTATCCAAAAGGCCAAGAAATGCTACATTTATGGTCCTGAGATGGAATATATGAGGGGATTTGCAGCTTTAGAAGAGAAATGCCATCTTTAATAGGGTTTAACACATCTTAACAGTAATTTTCAGCAGGTCATATGGGGTCCTCAGGGCCTAGGTCCTTGCTGCTACACACACTGAAGTCTTCTCAGGTGAGGGGAAGAGGGGCAGGCACTGATCTCTTCTCTCTGGCAACCAGTGACAGGACCCGAGGGAATAGCCTGAAGCTGTGCCAGGGGAGAGGCAGGTAAGACATTAGAAAATGGTTCTTCACCCAGAGGGTGGTTGGGCAGTGGAATAGGCTCCCCAGGGAAGTGGTCACAGCACACAACACTCTCCGGCACATGGTGTGACTCTTGGGGTGTCCTGTGCAGGGCCAGGAGTTGAACTGGATGATCCCTGTGGGCTCCTTCCAACTCAGGACATTCTGTGATGTAGGAGAAGCTCACTGCGACTGCCGCTCCCTCTGAATCCCTTTGTCCCACCTCGCCCCGCGTCCTGCCCCGTTCCCAACGGGTGTGTTTCCCTGCGCGCTGCCCGTGCCGCCGTTCCGTTCAGCTGCTGGAGGCCGTTTCGGAGGAGCCGGGCTGTCGAAGCGCTTGGCTGCCGCTCCTCACTCACCCTTGGTTCCCGGCGGGATCGGCTCCAGCTGCGGCGGGATCGGCTCCAGCTGCGGCGGGAGCGGCCCCGACACGCCCCAGCGCCGAGCGGCCACGGTGGGAGCGCCCCCTGGCGGCTGCCGCGGGACCCGGCGGCGGGGAGGGGGAGGCACCACCCCTTGCCCCGCTGGGAGAATCCATTGCCGGGGGGGAGCTGAAACGGTGCGGAGTGGAAGATCTGCCGGGCATCACCGCCCGGAGCACTCGAGGGACGGACGGCGGTCACCGCCGGACGCGCCGCCTCGGCCGCCGCTGCGGTGCGGCGCGGAGGTGCGGACAGGCTCTGGAAGGTTGTCTCCTCCTCGGCCCGCCCTCCCCTCTTCCCCCCCGAGCGGCGCGGTGGCGCGGCCCCGGGTCAGGCTGAGGCGCGGCGGTGCGAGGCGCTGTCAGAGGCGCGCTGTGAGTCTGGCCCAGCCCGTACCCGGAGCGCCACTGCTGCTGCCATGGAGCCCCACCGCTGGCTGCCCCTGGAGGCCAACCCTGACGTGAGTGCCCGGCACGGGCTGTGGGAGGGCTGCCCACCCGGCAGCCAGCCTGCTGGGCGAGGATAACGGAGGGCGGGAGGATGGCGGAGGGCAGAGGTCTCGGGGCCGCGCCGGGCTCAGCATCGCCGCCTTAGGGATGTCCGGGAACGGGAGGGGTCTTAGCCCGCGGATCCGACCGGGATCTTAACGCGCTTTTGTTTTCTGCTTTCTTTTCAGGTCACGAATCAGGTAAGGAGCTTTTATCGGAAGTAACCTTTAGTCTCTCTGCAGCTTTGGGCCCGTCTCGTCTCGTTTTCGCGTATTAAAGGCTTCTCCAGGGAGAGTGCCCCCTTCCTCACTTAACGCGTGTCCGCACTCAGTCGTCTCATGTTGGACCGTACTGGAACTTCTCACCTAAAGATACTACATGAAAAAAAAAAAAAAAAAAAGCCAACAGTAAATAGAGAATAGTTATGACCTGGCTATTAACGTAATAAAATATGTTTCCAGGTGGGTCTCAATTCATTAAGTAATGATTAAATGATTATTATATATTAATATTTAATGTACCAGCGATGGACACGTACGTGATGGTTTTGTTCTCTTGTAAGGACCTGCTTGCATCACTGTGTCACAGTCTCATTCTTCTTTGGCCGACCATAAGAAATAATGTCACTTTACCATTTGCACTTTGCTGCTTCTGCGTGACCATATTAGCATGATTTATTGTTGCTGTTTTTGTCAGAGTGGTAGAACCCACACTAGAGAAAAGGAGCTTGTTCTAGTGCAGAAAACAGTGCCCATGGTAAATAAACTCTGGCTGAAAGGAAATCACACATAGTGCAGGCCTGCATCATGTTCTCAGTGATAATTTTGAGCATCTTTAACAAGCCTTAGAGGTCCAGATGTTGATTTTAGCAGGTCTCATAACATTAAAAATGGTGTTTAAGCCAAAAGGCTCTGATGCTTCCAGAAGTAAGATTACATTCTTAACACTATATTGTTGAAATATTTTGGAAACTCGGAATTTTTGTGTGTGAAGAATGTCTTGTTTGTCTTTTTTCATTGTTGTTGTGGCTGCTTTAATGTGCAAACTGCATCTGCAGGAGAGTAAAGGGTTATTTGATGCTGGGTGGTTTTGTACTTTATAGTTTCCTAGGGCAAATAGTTTTACAATTCTTACAGTATTGCTGTTATTTGTTTTTTGTTTGTTTTTTTTTTTTCATTTTGAAAATCAGAGACTAAATTCCAGTTTGGAAGAAAACAAGTGTGAATGAATCACTAGTAGAATTCCGAATTCTCTAACTTCTTTTGACTTTCGAAGTACTGAGATGAGCTCATCATGGTACAAATTAAGTAAAGTAGAAATTGACTGGTGTTTAATCTGATATATCTTATATCAATGTTAAACTTCTAAGTGTATTTAAAATCCATCTCTCTTGTTCATTGGCTCTGCATTGGTGATGGATATCTGTCACTTGTGGATGAATATGGATTGTAGGAATTTGCGCTCTGCAAGTAATTACTTGTTAATATTTCTGTGTAGAAAAGGCCACTTGAGACCAGTTAGACTTCTTGAGCAGTCTTAACTGAGCAGGAGTTGTTATTATCTAGACTAACATGTGGCTATTTAAAAAAAAAAAAAAAAAAAAAAAAAAAAAAAAAAAAAAAAAAAAAAAAAAAAAAAAAAAAAAAAAAAAAAAAAAAAAAAAAAAAAAAAAAAGGTGTTTAATATGAATACACCTTGCATTATTAGTCATCGTTCCTTTTAATCTCATCAGTACAGTGATGAACTGTGTAACAACAGGGCTGTTAGTCACAAGTTACTCATGTCCTGCTTATGTTGAAACCAATAATAATAGTAATTCAAGATTCAAATGAAGTTGCAAACCCATTTTTAGAAAATCCTGTTGAGTTAAGGGATGTCTGCAAGGACAGACATGTTTTGCAGTACTTTGTACTGTGCTCCATAAAATATTGCAGAAGTCTTCAGGATTAAAGAAACAGTGGTGTGCTTCTACAAACTGAAATATACATGCTAGGTGTGGTAGTGAACTCTTAAAAATTTCAATGGCCTGTAAAATGCATGGATTCTTAAGTTTTGGGTTGTAGTTAAAACTCTCATTACAATTTAACAAATGCTTAGGATGTTTTGATTATTGTGCCAATCATTTTATTCCCTTTTTTAATAGTAACTAGATGTGTACTAAATGCAGATTCAGTTGCTTTTAGTATATTCTTATCATCCTGTGTGCTCTCTAGTTTTGAAATATAAGTTGTAAATTTGAGAATTTCAGCCTTTGTGGTAGAAATTCAGGCAATAATTGAGAAAAATTGGTATTTCTCAGTTATAGGGTATGTGAAATCGTTCAAAAATATCTCAGAAGTTTTTCTGTATCTGAAAGTGTTCATATAATAATGCAAGTCTAGGAATTTCCAAGTCCTTAGTGTATATAGAACATCTCTGTGCCTATGTGCTAGAATTATTTAAAGCTTCAAAAGCGGGCTAGGGAGGGTAAACAGGAATATTCTTTCTTAAAGATTTCCAGTGGCAGTGACTCACTCAGAATACCACAGCTGTGTATCTGTAGTGGTGTTTTTAAGCAAGAATGTACCACAGTTAAATGTGCCACACAGTGGTAATTGTAATGAGCGAAATCAGTCGTTAAATGTACCATACTGTGCTAATGTAATTGTCACAGTACTTGTTTTTTCTCTCCTTCACTTCTGCAGTCTGACAGAATGAATTGTTGTCCACCTCTGACACAGATTGAGTTGATGATTCAGCATTTACAAAGCTCCACTTTGTGTACAGTGGTGACAGGGAACGGTTTCTTCTCTTTGACCTTCATCTGGGGGGCCTGCTGCCCTTCTTCCTGAATTTCTTATGAGTTTTTCCCCACTAATGGGAGAGAGAAGGCAAGAAAATCATGTCTATCTGCCCATTGTTTACCACATGATGCTTGTCTGTGTATCTTGTTCTCAATTTCTTCTACTACCCAAAGAATACAAACCAGACTGCATGCAAATTTTTGAGTGAAAAGATCAGAACACAAGCTGATTGTTCTTCATCATGATTTTGCTTCAGTCTGGCTTGCAACCCACAGTTGATTGCCCAGCAAGTGTAAATAAGCAAAACAATAGTATTGAGTGTCCCTGGTGGTGCAGTGGCTAAACCGCAGCGTTGTCAACGCTGAGATCTGGGTTCGATTCCCGGTTAGGACACTCCCCGGGCAGATGAAGCTCGCTAGCCCTGTAAGGCAATCCATCTACGTCCTGAGGACCTCGCTGCCACCGTCCAAGCGTGCTTGGCCCCGGCAGATGAACCTCAGGATTAAAGGGTGGGCTCAGTTCCGCGCACACTGTGTCTCACCTAAAAAAATCCAATGCGCAGGCTGGAAGGTGTAAAAACCTTCCCTGGTTCTTCGTTCGCGAAGAGACTGGCCATTATTTAGTATTGATGGATCTCTTTCTTGATCTCCTACCTTTTCCCATTCTCTCTTCTCTTTCTTCATCTCACCTATTCTAAGAAATTTCCTTACTTCCTGGATAAGGTATCATTTCAACTCCTGCCTTCATTATATCTGGATAAGGATAGAGTAATTGACTGTATCTGATCAGTGTTCAAGCAGTGGCTTTAGGTAGCTCCAAGGTAATTAAACTGTTGAGAGTTGGCTGTGGCTTGGGTTTCTCTTGCCCCATAAGGCCGGAACTTCCTGGTTCTTAATTACCTTTCAGCATTGTTTTCAGGCTTTTGATCCTACTTTTTGGATTGTTTTTTTGTTTTGTTTTGATTGTTGTTTGGTTTCGGTTTTTGGGGTTTTTTTTTGTTTGTTTGGGTTTTTTTGGGGGGAGTTGGTGTTGTTTTGTTTTGTTTTTTTTAAGCTATTTAAGTATTGAGAGGCAGCTACATAAAGAGATTTATTTTAGCCCATGACCACCCTTGGACAGCTGTGACTTTAAAGTTACAGGGCAATCTCAAAACACAGAACAAATGGCAGAAACTGGATGCAGCCACTCTTCGGCCGTTTATAGAACACATATCTTCAGGGTGTTAGGCAAATAGAGAGATTGATTAAGTATTAATTATCTTGGAAACAGTATCTTCCTAAAAGGTCTTTCCATTTTCTGAACTCTGAAACACTATCCCACAAGCTTTCCCAAAGGAAAGCTGTACTGATCAAAATAACTGAAAAGGCAGTGCACACGATTCCTGAAGTGTGTTGGGAACCAGTACTCGTGGATGAGCTACTGCACTGGAGTGCAAGGATGTCAGATGTGGAGAAACACAGGTGTCCTTCTGAAAATGCTTAGCTAAACTTTTTTTTTTTTTAAGGTGAGGGAGTAGAGTTTAACTCTTTTGTGGTAAGCAGAAGGAAAACATTGGAGATAGCATGCATGCTTGGAAAGCAGCCTGTTATTATAGCTGTAGCCTCAGAAAGTGGAAAACTAGGACTCTGTGTGTGTCCTTCTTTAAAGACAACACCTCAGAAAGCCTTCCACAGAACCAGCAAAGGGGGAGTGAAACAGGTCTCTTAAATATAACATGGTATCCTCTTTTGAACCAGCGGCTCAGTAACTGCATCTCAGGACTCCGCTGGAAGCATTCTAAAGCTCTTGTTTGCTGGGATGGTTTTGAAAGAAGCCTGGGTCAGCTGGTTAGTCCAGTTTTGTGCATGCTTTGCACTGCTGCTTCTGGGATGCCCAGGGCCAATATATACGGCTTTGCCTGGGCATACTGAGCATTAAGTTTTCAAACTGCTCTATGGATTTATTAAAAATACATACCTCTCATTGGGAAGAACAGGAACACTAACTGTAAGTCAGTGCTGCTCTTTTAGACACCCTAAAAGACTCAAAGTCTTCAGTAGAATTCCTTAGTATTTAGACTGTGACTTTCTTGAAGTATTTGCAGATGCTGTCCAAATTTAATTGCACTTGAATTTCAAGGTCCTATTTTGTTTCAGTTTTTGTTCTCACTTTGTTTTCATACAAAGTAGAAAAGCACGTTGCTATTTCAGACAATATTTAAATTGTACATTTACTACTTCAGAAGTTTTCTGTTAAAGTAAATTGCACCCTTACGTTGTCTTACCGCACTTGTCCTTCCCATGTCTCCATCAGCCCCACAGATCAAATCTTCCTGCTGTCTCTGTAATTAAATTAAATAAATCTAACCTAAACCTAACAGTAACCTAACTAACCTAACCTAAACAGAATAGTGTATTAAAGATAACTACTCTGTGTTTCTTGCAGTGCTTAACATCTAGCAGGTTAAGGTAGTGGTACCAGCAATTAAAGCAGTGTACCACATGCTGCATAGGGAACATGTCTGAATGTTCTTACTGTAATGTTTTTGCTATTAACATTTAGACATGCAGATTTACAGCTTGTTATCATTTAGAATAGAATGATGTAGTCTGGAAGGGACCTTTGGAGTTCTTCAGACCAACCGTGCTCTGTCCAAAACAGATTCTCAGAAGACTGTCAAGTTCTGAATTTCTCAAAAGACAGGGACTCCACAGCCTCCTGGGCAGTCTGTGCTACTGTTTTGCCTTGTTTGTTATTTGTAAAATTTAAATGCCTTCCTTATCAAGTTCGAATTTGCCTGTGTTTTAACCTGTCTTTTGTCATTGTTTTACTCTGTGGTGCTGAGATGATTCTGGCTCCATCTTCTCTGCGCTCTCCCTTAGCTATTTAAAAACAGCAATAATCAGGTGAGAAAGATGGGCCTTCTGGAATACAGTGGGAAATGAGAAATTTATAGAAAGTGCAGATAAGGGGTGCAGGGGTGTGTGTAAAGTAATTTCAAAGGTGGCTTTTTGATAATGGTTAGCTGGACCAGCGAAAAGACAGGAAATATTTTTCAGAAAGGTATTTTAAAACAACAAGAAAAGAGACAACCAAAAATATGATAACAATCAGTAAAAGAAAGTTCTGAAACAGTTAATACTAGATACGGATGTGTGAGGGGGTTGTGGTGGTGGTATTCCTGATCTCCTGTAAGACTTCTGTAATACAGCCAAATTTTTTTCTTTTTTTTCCTAAGGTAAATGCTCAAAGACCTATAAGTCAAGAATAGTCAGCAATGTGATAAGCAGTGTCTGTGAAAGAGAATCTGGTACTCTCTTGTGCAGATCTGGAGAAATATAAGGCTGCTATTTTATGTTATGTTTAGTTCATAGTATCAGTTAAGAGAAGGTAAGCAGCTGAAAGTGAGTGAGCCCTTGAAGTACCCTAACTGTTCCTTAGAGTAGAATAAAATTGCTTGGGTAGTCACTGAGTAATTGGAACACAAAGCAGCACAGGTCTCTCCCTGTAAGTGACACTGTCTAAAAACCATACAGATAGCTGCCTGTTGTCCTTTAACAGGAAATGGTTTTGTCAGTGGGGAAGGGGTACTTTACCTCCTTTTGCCTTACTAAGTCCTTTTTTTACCAAAATCTTTGTCCAGCCTAGGAAAGAGCCAGAAAATGACTGAGAGAGGGAAAAATATAGAAGTTAAATGTAGGCATTAGTGTAACTTATTAAAATTGAAGCTGTTGCTTGTGACATTTATCTTTCTGGCCTTCCTGTGTCATATCTAATACTGATTTTTGTCCCGCTAAAGAACTTTACCTGGTTCCCAACAACTTGGTTTGATTCCTAGAAAATTTCTTCGCCCTGTCCTTGCTAAATACAGTCTTGCCTTGTTTTTACCCTAGTTGCCAAAGATTACGTACCTGACTGTCATTGGCTGAACTCCATCTTTTTCTTTGCGTGTATCCATGTTAAAAATTAGTTCCATATGTTTGTTTAAAGGATCTTTCCCGTCCTGCCATCTGTTGCTCAAATGTTACCCAAATGTCAGTCTCTTACACAGGGGCTTATGCTGTACAGTTTTTAACATCTACTTAATTTTTTGAAGGATATTTTAATTTTTTTTTTTCCCCAAGCCTGAACAAAACCCTCTTGATACACAGAGGGATATCTTCTTTGCCCGTTTTGGGTCTCCTTAGTATTTTATTTTTGTTTTATGGTTCTGCAATAAAGTTATGTAGACTGATTGTGTGTCAAGATCACTGCTTGTCAGGCTGAGCCTGTGCTCTTGCTGTTCTCTGTAGTGCTGACCACTGTTTCTTGTTATCACTCTCATTGCATACTAGAAGTTACAGTTTCTTAGATTGTAAAGTTTCCAGGCAGTATTGTAACAGGAGTAATAGAAGGTGCCCTATATTTGTGGAGTTCTGATTATGTTAAATATTTCATTCAGGAGTTTGTAATGCTTTAATTCTTAAGTAAATAGTGCTGGGAGTGTTTCCGCTTCCCTTTCATAAAGACTATTAAATTACATAAAACATGGGGATTTTGTCTGTCTTTGTTAGCACTATGATTTCCTCAACCTTATTTCTTAAAACTTGAATCATATTTATTCTCCATAAAATTTGGAAAGTATGACTTGTTGCAATGTATTTCACATTGTAAATAACTCTGTTATGCTTCTGAAAAGATAGTATATGAATGTATTAATTAATTTTTTTTATTATTATTATTTTTATTTTCTAGTTCCTCAAACAGTTGGGTATACATCCTGACTGGCAATTTGTAGATGTTTACGGTATGGAACCAGAGCTGCTTAGCATGGTGCCAAGACCTGTATGCGCAGTGCTACTTCTCTTTCCAATAACAGAAAAGGTAAATGTTTATTTAATAACCAGTTAATTGCTTTTGCTGTAAATGAAATGAGAATTCTGTTTGAATCTTGTACTTTGGTGCCATAATAGAACCAAGGTGAGACTGAAGCCTTATTCAAGAGACTTCTTAATTAAAAATAACACAACGAAATGCTTCCTTCAGAACCTTCTTTTGATAACTTGCAAGTATATTACTGATTTCTTTTCAAATCGGAATGAGAAAAGCTAATGTAGAAGCACAGAGAAATATCTCACATTTTTCTTTTACAGACAATTTAAGGCTTTTTGTTTTTAAAATGCACTGTGAAGTGGCTCAATTCTGCTATTTTTAGCAGAAAGCTACAATTGCAAAGGCAAAATAAAAAGTAGAGTGGAAGACTGTATCAAGTGCAACTCCTTTTTGAGTTTTTGTCCTGTTGCACTGACCAAACTTCAATCCACTTTCAGTTCTGTCATCAGTATTGATATGGCTTTTGCTTCCTGGACAGATGGGGTGTATTTCTAAGTTGAAAGACAATTTCCACCCCTCCTTTCTCTATATTAGACTTAGGAACACTTGTTTTGGTCAAACATTCAAGTTTGGTTATTTTGTGTCATCATATGCATCCACATAGTATTATTCATAGTGATCTTTCAATTTATAATAATCTTATGTGACTGTGATAAGGTCAGCCGAAAAGCTTGAAGTGAATCTGCCCAAACTTCATTCTTTTAATATGTCTCTCAAAAAGAACATGTAGTTTATAAGGACAAACCACTTAGCTATTAAAGCTTAATTTCTACAACAAAATATATTTAAATACAGAGAAGAGTGATGGGTCGATTTTTTTACAAATTAGGCCCTGTAAACCTCTGCATTCTCAGTTTCTCCAAAACAGCTATGCAGACAGTCCGTTTCAAGCTTTATTTCAGCCACCTTGATAGTTTTGAACTTAAGCAAGCTCTTCATTCCCCTGTCTTCAGGAAATGTCCTTTCTGT